GCCAGCTCCTCCCCCGCGCGCTGGAATGAAGCCTTGTCTGTGATGCTGTACATGACCAGCCAGCCATCGGGGGGAGATTTCCGAGACACTTCGTTCTGGGGAGAGAATTCGAGGTTAGGTGAGATTGTTCCGAGACTTCGATTCGTACTCGAGATACGTAAATACTGGGTGGGTTTGGGTAAAGCAATATCTATATCTGTCTATCTATCTATCTATATTTTTTATTTATTGAATAGTTATTTGTCCATGTGACTGTGTGAATAACCAAAGTTAAACAAGATTACTACTGTGATTGCAATATGCAAATAGGTACACAAAAGGGAGCATATTCCACTCTCTGGCGTCCTGGATTTTGGTTTTTGGGACGCCTGTTTTTTTTTTTTTCTTCTTTTTTATACTGTCCTAATTTGATCTCAAAGTTACTCGCATTCAGCGTCTATTGTACACAAGTCGATAGCAATGACATCCATCAGAAATGAAAACAAAAACAAAAAACAAACAAGCAAAAAACATCTCACCAATCTTATTTACGAATCTAGAATTTGTCTATCGAAATAAGTCAACACCATTCTTTCCCTCAGACATGTTATATTATACTCTATTATATTTAAAACGACATAGCGACAGACTTCCAACCAATCTTACAACACATACTTTGGAGAACTTGAAACCATGGGGTAGCCCCGCCCTCAGCGTGGGTGAATGACATGCTGTTCGCTGGAATTCTAATGATCAAAGCTGTTAGGTTCGTCAGAAATGTGGTTTTGTAGCCATATGCATTAGCATGCGTAGCTAATACATATGCTTACACACACATATATACATATACTTACATACATACATACATACATATATATATATATATATATATATATATATATATATATATATATATATATATATTCGTATGGATATGTGTTTATATACATATATATAGACATAGGCTGTGTGTGTGTGTGTGTGTGTGTGTGTGTGTGTGTGTGTGTGTGTGTGTGTGGTGTGTTGTGTGTGTGTGTGTGTGTGTGTGTGTGTGTGTGTGTGTGTGTGTGTGTGTGTGTGTGTGTGTGTGTGTGTGTGTGTGTGTGTGTGTGTGTGTGTGTGTGTGTGTGTGTGTGTGTGTGTTTATCCGTATGCGTCTGTGTGTGTATGCGTGCGTGCGCGTGTACATAACATCCCTGTACGCCTGTGTACACGTGCATAATTATAAAAGGAAAAGAAAACAACAACATCCATCTTCACACAGGTATCTGCCCCCCCCTTCCCCCCACGCCGAGGGACGAGAGCCAAATCATTCCCCAGCCGAGAGCCTGCCGAACGAAGCCCCGCTGTGAACGAAGCAGCTATGAAACACCAGCAACAACAGCGTGTAAAACTCTCAAATCCGACTAAAGCTCCGTGTCTGTCACATCCCAGTGCTCGCAAACTGACAATGTTCGCCGATAAAGCCCGGATTGAAAACCTGGATAGATTTGTGGATGAAAAAAGGATTAGGAATTTCCGAACGCGTTTTGACATGAAGCGAAACAGAAGAGTGAAACTTTTTTTTTTTTTTTTTTTTTTTTTTTTTTTTTTTTTTTTTTTTGCCGAAGTGCGTTCGTAAATGTGTAAAAGAAAGGTGAAAAATAAAAATAAAATGATAAATGGTAAATGGTAAAAAGAAATCAAATCACTGCACTTTTACATAAAAAAAACATTTACGTTCATAACCTAACATTTATAGAGGACGCCTATTCTTTCACACACACAACACACACACACACACACACACACACACACACACACACACACACACACACACACACACACACACACACACACACACACACACACACACACACACACACACACACACACACACCACACACACACACACACACACACACAGCACACACATCCCGAAACAAACAAACAACAACAAAACCGTGAGCTAATTTTATGAAATGTCATTTAACGTGAGTAGGAGACCGAGGCAGGAGCTGGCGAATCAATAAACCTTTAATTAGCTGTACTTACGGGAGAGGAAGGTGGGAGGGGAAGGTGCAAGGGGAGGGGGAAGGGGGGGGAAGAAGGTGTAGGGGAGAGGGGGAAGGGGAGGAGGGAAGGTGCAAGGGGAGGGGAAAGGGGTGAGGAGGGAAGGTGCAAGGGGGAGGGGAGGGGAGGGGGAGGAGGAAAGAAGGTGCAAGGGGAAAGGGAGGGGGAGAGGAAGGAGGGAAGGGAAGGTGCAAGGGGGGGGGAGCTGTAAGGGAAAAGGGAGGGGAAAAGGAAGGTCCAAGGGGAGGGAAGATGCAAGGGGAAGGTAGTGGAAGGGGAAGGGGGAGGGTGGTGGAAGGGGAAGGGGGAGGGTAGGGGGGGGGAGGGGAGAGGGAAGGTGCAGGAGAAAGGGGGGGAGGAAGGGGAAGGGAGAGGGATGTCCGAGAGGAAGGGAGGGGAGAGAGAGAGAAGGACCAAGCGGAAAGGGAAAAAGGGGGGAGAAAGAGGAAGGTCCAAAAAGAAGGGGAGGGGAGAGGAAGATCCAAGGGGAAGAGGAAGGGGAGGAAATGATGAAACGGAGGGAGAAGGGGAAAGTCCACGGGGAAGGGGTAGGGTAGGGGAGAGAAGAAGAGGGGGAGGGACGGGTTCAAAGGGAAGGGGAAATGTAGGGAGGGGAGGGGAAAGGGGGTAAGGGGAGTGGAAGAGGGGAGGAAATGATAATGGGGAAAGAGAAGGAGAGAGAGAGGAAGGAAGGAAGCTAACTGAGCGAGAGGAAGGGGATTGGGAGAGACGTATGTAGATATAAGATGGATAGATAGGAGGGGGGGGGGGAAGGAGGAGAGGGAAGGAGGGAGGGAGGGAAGGGAGGGAAGGAGGGAGGGAGGGGGGAGAGGGAGAGGGAGAGGAAGAGAAAGAGAGGGAGAGAGAAAGAGAGGAAGAAGAAAAGAGAGAGAGAGAGAGAGGGAGGAGGGAGAAGAGAGAAGAGAGAGAAGAGAGAGAGAGAGAGAGAGAGAGAGAGAGAGAGAGAGAGAGAGAGAGAAGGAGAGAGAGAAGAGAGAGAGAGGAGAGAGAGAGGAAGAGAGCTGAGGAAAGAAAAGGAAAGGAGAGAGAGAGGAAGAAGGGAGGTTAAGAAAGACTGAAAGTGAACAAGCAGTAAACCATATATACGACATAATAATTATAATCTAGTCCCTATTCATATAAACACCATAACATTCATAATAATAATAATGACGATAATTATTAACATCGAAACTATTCACAACAAAAGATCAAAGGAAGAGATTGGCCAAACGTAAAATTTAAACAAACGACCTCAGTTCTCAAAGAAAAGAAGTAAGCACGTGACCCCAAGTCTCGAAAAAGTAGCCAGACGACTTTGTCTCGAAAATTGTCAATCAGCGACTCCCAAGTCTCGAAAAAAGTGGAAAACAAAGGAAACAAACGACTTTCCAGATCTAAAAAAGGGAAAAGAAACTAAACAAACAAACAACACCCAATTTGTTTAAAAAGTGGAAAAAGTAACAAACGACTTTCCAATCTCAAAAAACAGGAAAACTAAATAAGAAACGCCCAATTTTCAAAAAAAGTAGTAAAAACGCAAACAACTTCCCAAAATCTCTCCAAAAGAAGAAAACAAAGTAAAACAAAACAAAACAAACCATCCAAATTAAAAAAAAGTATTAAAAAACATAAACAAGCTTTCCAAAATCCCACAAAAAGAAGAAAAAACAAAAACAAACCACTCAAATTCTCAAAAAAAAAGAAGAAAAAAACAAACAAACCACTCAAATTCTCCAAAAAAAAAAAAAAAAAAAAAAAAAAATTCTCGACGACCCACTCACCTGCAAATCCTTCGGTGTTGCCACGTTGACGAAAACGATTTCCGACTCGATGTTATTTAACATGATGGACACCACCTGCTCGGACTCGTCGGCTGAAGGGAAGAGGCGGAGAGAGAGAAAGAGAGAAAAGAGATTATTACTTCTGTTTTTTTTTTTTGACTCGTTTACGTTCGTTGGGGGGGGGGGGGGTTGGAGGAGGGGGGGAGGGAGGGAAGGGGGGGAGGGAGGGGCTTGGAGGGGGGAGGGGTGAGAGAGGGAAGGAGGGAGGGAAAGAACGAGAGGAGGAGGAGAAGGAGGAGGAGGAGGAGGAGAACGAGAACTAAAAGGAGAAGAGAAAGAACATCTTAATTTTTTTTAAACAATAAAAGGAGGAAAGTAGGTCGGGGATTTTTATTATTATTATTTTTTTATTATCATTTTTTTAAAGGGTGGGTATGGTGGGGGATTAATATTCCGTTGGGACACCGGGACACGCCAGCGCTCGCCGCCCTTCCCTGGAAATTCAGACAGGTAGTAAAATAATCATAACACTATAATATTATTAACGGCACTAGCAAAACGTTCTGTTGGTTTAAGCAGTGTATAATAAATACATGTGGTTCCCAGTTTTAAAAGCTGTTCCTTATATTAAGGACGCACACATACAACAACACGCACACACACACACACACACAGCAACACACACACACACACACACACTCACCTCCACCTTCTCCCCACAACAAAATATCCACACCCCCTTCCAATACACACACACACACACACACACACACACCACACACAACACACACACACACACACACACACACACACACACAACACACACACACACACATACATAACACAATCTCCACCCCCTCTTCCCCCCTCCCCACCCACACCCTCTTCCACAACCACCCCCCCCCCTCCCCACCCACACATCTTCCTACAACCACCCCCTCCCCCCTCCCCGCCCACACCCCTCCCCCACTCCCCACCCACAGTGCCATTTCCGCCCACCGTGAGTTAACTTGGTTCCGCCTCCCTTCCCCATTCGCGCCTCCGACTGCCAATAACCTCGTGATTGGGGGAAAAAGCCTCTCCAATCAAACCGCATAAGGGTGACATTAAAATTCATAGATGCAGATGCCTGAGTGCCGCTGGAAGGGTTGTGTTGGCACCATAGTCCTCGGGCACACAGGCACC